TCAATGAAGAAGGGCTTGAAAAGTGTCGCTTGCAGTGGCGGCGCATGTTTGCAGCTGCCTCTCAGCTTGAGGCTTCGTTGAAAAAGTGTGCAACAGATGTCACAAAGCACATTGCAGGGCTTGCAGCTGCAGTGGAGAGGGAGGAAAAGAAGCGCAAGGAGAAAGAGCAGAAAGACGCCGAAGCCAAACACTTGGAGCAGTCGCGTGCCAAGCTGAAGCAGGCTCAGGCTGATGGCGCAGGCATGGCAGCCGTGTTCAAGTTGGGGACGGATGGTGTCCAAGCTATGAAGATCCTCGAGAGCAACTCCATTTCCAGTGACGCTGACCTCAGTTTGCCTTTCGTGCTTCGCAAGTCGAGCCATTTGCAAGCGTGGACCTCCCAGCCAATCCTCTTGCAGACCATGACCAATTTTGGTGCCAGGTACAAGAAGACAGCCGGCTTTGATGTCACAGGCAAGGTGACCATGCCGTATGTTGCCAGGGCTGGCAAGGAGGTGACGGAGAAATTCTTCGCCGATGTCGTTTCGCCTGTGCAGGAGAAGATCGTGGACATTTCAGAGTTTGCTCCAGGATGGATGGGTACATCATGGATGTATGGCCTCAGCCCCAAGACATCGTTTGCAGGGTTGAGCCCAAATTCAGCAGCGTTTTTGAAGGTCCTTCTGTATGGAGAGCTGGACATGTATTGCCTCGGTGTAGCAGACGTGCTGGATGCTTTCAAGTCCGCAAAGCTTTCCATTCCGAAGACTTCCGCTGAGTTGGAGCAGGCCCTGTCATGTTCCCGCCCACACACCCCCCACCCATTGAATGAATGGCTCATCAACTACCCATTCCTCAATGTAGCCAGATTGTGAGTTACGCTCTAGTTCAATTCCATGAATTTGTGCAACATGTTCTTGTCCTGGTTAGGCGCTCGAAGCTTTGGATGAAAGTTCATGGAAGAGCCTGGGGGTAAAGCCTTTCCATCACAAGCTCGTTCGAGAGGACATCGTCTATGTGCCGACAGGCCATGTTCTTCTCGAAAGAACAGGGGCAAGCACAATGATCTACGGTGCCAGGAAATCCTTCATCGTTGCAGGCGAGAGTGCAATCAAGAATTACGGAGCTTGCGTGACCCTCCAGGAAAAGGAGGGGAAAAATGTGGTGAAGATGAAGCAGGTCGTGGAAGCTTTGTCCAAGCATGGCCAGAATGCTGAGAAGTGATGCCGTGTAGCCATCATGTAGCACATAATGCCATTGCCATTTGTGGCAATTTCAGGTTTTTTTTGCTTTGAAGTTCCTCGAAGCGCATTTCATGCAGCGCTTCAGGCCGCATGGAGATGTGGTCATCAGAATCAGAAGGATCTTGCTAGCCGCGGCTTTGCAAAACAATCAATCCGCATTCAATGTGCTTTGCCTGCTGAGTGTGGGCACCCATGCATTCGTGAATGTGCTTGACGTTTGCGTGCTCACTTTCTTTCCACGCATGGCTCTTGAGATGGTCAGTTGATGTATCAATTCGGTTCATGCGAGATTTGAGCTTCAGCTTCCAGTTTCGAAAGATTGAAACCACCAAGGATCAACAGATTCAGCAAAGTGTTGATCTGATTTTTGAAGCTTTGGCAAATTTTCATGGCTCACATGCACATCACATCCACATGCATCAGCATACAGCAAACGGATTGTGCATAGCGGTTCAAGTTGTTCACATGGCACGACTTTGAGGATTGGTTTTCAATTTTGCATCAAGATGAGATTGACAGAAACGTTTTGTTTTTCATGGATTGTCCCATGCGCTCTTCATGAAATTCTCTGGTCATTTCAAGCCTAGCAGTTGTCGTGCACGCTCCCGCGTTTCCGCCTTTCCTTGCTTGAAAGTCTCAGGTGCAACAGGTTCTTGCAGCCAGCAGCTCTGCGTGAAAACCACGCATCGCTAAACCTTAAACCCAAACCCTAAACCTTAAACCCTAAACCCTAAACCCTAACTCCCTGAACCTCAAACCTGAAATTTGGGTTCTACAAACCCTTTGCATAAACCTTTAATCTGCCAGATGATGCTGGCTCAATCCTAATGCCATCTGGCTCAATCCA